GATGATATTTCACGTAAATTTACCTAAATTTGAAGTTTTACCAAAATATTTTTATTAATTTACCCAAGTTCATTTCAGCCATCAAATGGCTGTGCTCATTTTGAAGTACTTCTTTCTTCTGCTGCAGCTGTAAGAAATCTTCTCCCAAGCTTCTCACACCTTTTCCAACTTTCAGTGGTAAAATTGGAAACATCTGAAAACTACATCCACTTCAAAACTAATTTTCGGGATTAAAATTCAAAACTGAAAGAAATTTACTGGCTTTCTACATCTTGAACTCACATACATTTTCTCCCAAGCACCAAATGGTGCATGGTGACGAATAGCACAGTGTTTACTGATATTACAACAATACCTTCATTGTCAAAAAGGAATTCTAAATGAAGGAAATGCCACCAGATCATAGATACTAATGAAGTTTCGAATGTGAATGCAAATTCTGAAATGGAGATTTAAAAAAAATTAACATCTCAAATCTATTTTACCATGAGATGTTGCATTCTGGTCACTTGCAACGAAACACTGCCATGTCACTGGCAAAAAGCAGGAATTAGGCGAATGAATGAGTGACCATCCAGTAGTGCTCACTGAGGATGCCTGGGATGTATTCGATAAACGATGTGCACGAGAAATGAAATCACGAGAGAACTTTCGAAATGGCTTCCTGAAAGTCTCATCCTTCTTCCTCATCTCGAATATAATAAATTATACAAAGTGTTACGCAATATAGAAGATTATTCGCCCCATACTGGACAAGCACTTTATCTGTCCTCAGTCAAATTGCAGTTCTTTACAAACCTGTCCATCAACTTTTGTTTTCATCGAAAAAAATATATATTTGAAGACTTTTAATACAGAAAATTTGCCCGTAAGTATTATAGTTGTTAATTTCTGAGAAACATGCTAGTATTTAAAATATATTTTATTTTGAATTCTGACATAAGATGATATGAATTAATAAAAATATTTTGGAAATTAACAACTATAATACTTACGGGAAATTAACAACTATAATACTTACTTCTTCG